AAAAAGTGTATACAGACAAGTAAATTAAAAGCTATCCAGGTGGAGAGAGCAGGAGTAGGCATCTTTGTGACTTGTTATACTAAAGTGCTCTTCTTTTTTTAACATGTGTATGTATAGCATGTATACACACATATCATGTATATATACTATACATTATATACACTATATACTATATAGTGTACCACATGTTATGCATACATATATAAACACACATACATACCGTCATAGAACAAAATCTGACTCCTATATGTATTTTTTCTACTTCTAGAAAGCTAGTAGAAGGAAGCAAGACACTTCTCCATAGCTACCCAAATAACCCACAAGATATTCTTCTTTCTTGTCATAAGTTTCCACTGTGGACATTTAAATCAGGATGTCATTCTTGGAATGGGACTTTTCAGGGTCTCAGGAAGGTGGCCATCCAGCCTATTTAAACATTTCAGTGGCTAGAAGTTCCCTAGCCCATGCAGTGGCCTATTCTGTTGCTAGACCCACATGAACTTTGCAAGTTCTTGCGCATCTGGGGCCAAAATCTGCCTCTGGTAGTTTGATCACACTCATCCCAGCTCTGACATCTGCAGCTATAGGGAACTGGTCAATACGGTGTGACAAACACTTGAAGATAATCACTATGTCCTAAATCTCTTATCCAGGTTATGTGCCCTCTAGTTCCTCGAAAGACACAGTTCTTGGCATGGCTCCATACAGCAAAAGGCAAGTGAACACTCACCACATTTCACCATTCCTACTTCATAGCACTTCCGAAGCCGGCAGGCCTGGCAGCTTTTACGCCGGTTCTTATCTATGGTACACTGATTCGTAGCTGGGCAAATATAATCATTATGTCCTACAGTAGAGGGAAAAAAAATGAAGGTTCTTATTAAAATATTTTGGTTAAATTTCTTCCAGGGCAACAACACTGATAATATTACCCAGTTGACTGTTGATGAAATTGTAAATTAGTTCAACCACTAAGGAAATCAGTATAGGGGTTCCTCAAAAGACCAGACACGGGACCACCCCATGATTCAGCTATACCATGCCTCAGTATTTATCTGAAAGAATTAAAGCTATCACCCTATAATGATACACACAGACCATGTTTATAGCAGCATAATTCACAATAGCTATGATGGAACCAGTCCAGGTGTCCATCAACAGATGAATGGATAAAGAAAATGTGGTATATATATATATATATACAATGAAGTTTTGTTAAGTCATAAATAAAAATGAAATAATGTCATTTGCAGGAAAATAGATGAAACTAGATCATCATGTTAAGTGAAAGTCAAGGGGCTATGTTTTCTCTCATATGTGGAAGCTAGAGAGGAAAAAGGAAGAGAAAGGTGGGGGCGGACCTCATGGAAATCAAAGGCAGATCAGTAGAGGAAAGAGATGGAGGGGTAGAAAAGAGGAAGGGTGGGGATAAGTGCTGGAGTGATACTGGCCAAATTATATTACTACATTGTGTACTCAGACGAGTCTGTAACAACAAATCCCATCATTATGTGCAACTCTAATGCACCAAGAAAAAAAAATGTGGGGAAAAGCATATTATCTACATGAGAGATAGGGGACAGATACAGATACAAATGCCAAAGTGACACCCTGACAACAAGTAAAGGAGAACTAAGAATAGCTCAGTACCTTGCTTTTTGGCTAATAGATTATTCCATCATATTACTAGAATTTAAAAAAATAGATATGCTTAGGCTGGGCACGGTGGTGCAAGTTTGTAATCCCAGCAGGTTGGGAGGCTGAGGCAAGAAGAACACAAGTTCAAAGCCAGCCTCAGCAACTTAGCAAGGCCTTAAATAAATCAGTGAGACCTATCTCTAAATAAAATATAAAAAAGGGCTGGGGATGTCGCTCAGTGGTTAAGGGCCCTGGGTTCAATCCCTAGTACCAAAATAAATAAAGAAATACATTTAGAAATATTCTCCTTTGGACATGGAAAGGGAAAGTCACATGAAATTGACTTGCTCCAAATCAAAGAATTCCTCGAGAGTTGTGTATCAACTTACCAAATTCAACTGCTTGTATGCTTTTACATATATCCCTCTTTGGGATTTAATATAATATTTTTTATGTGAATTCATAACCAAATAAGAAAAGTAAATCAAAAGGAACAAATAAAGAAATTAGTAATTATTCTGGGAGATGAAACTGACCAGATTATGTTTGTATGAATGTATGAATATGTGACAATGAATCTCACTAATATGTACAACTATAATGAACCAATAACAAAACTTTAAAACAGAAATTAGCAATCGACATAAGAACAGAAAGTACTTCTTTAGCTGTGGTGGCTTATCGGTCTCATTGCTTCACTCCCTCCCTCCCTCCGCCTTGTGACCCTGTGATACGCTAGAGTGCACAGAGTACATTTCTGCACCACTGATGTTGGGTTTGACTCTGGGACTTACTTTAGCAATGGTATGTTAATAAATGTGCTGTTCTAACAGTTGGCTTGACCTCTTGAGTGCCTAAAAGGTAGCCACTGGTCCAAGGAGAATGTGGGGATGTGTGGAAAAGACCTGAACTCAACCCAAAGGCCAGGGCCAGCCTTATGGAATAGAACCATCTTATTCAACCCATAGATCCACCCATACAAAAACTAATGCTCAGTGTAATAGGACGTTAAGATTTAAGTTGTTTGTTAGATAACAACCTCTAAGACAATTACACTTTTATTTCTATGTAGAGATAAAATATTTCAAAAATCAGTTATTTCATGGGCTGGGGCTGTAGCTCAGTGGTAGAGCACTTGCCTAGTATGTGTGAGGCACTGGGTTTGATCCTTAGCCCCATGTAAAAATAAACAAATAACATAAAGGCATTCTGTCCGTCTATTAATACGAAAAAAAAAAGGTTATTTCAGATGCAGTATGGAGAATGGATTAGAGTCAGCAGAACCAATGGAGGACAGGAGACCAAGTGAGAACCTGCTATAGCTGTGTAAATGAGAGAGGCTGTCTGGACTGGACATTCGTAAAAAGGATGATAAGGGACACACGGGTCTGAGAAAGGTTTAGAAAATGGAGACTATCATAAAACAGATAAAAAATAGAGCATTCGGGTACCTTACTTTTTCTTTTGGTACCAGGGATTGATTAAACCCAGTGGCACTCAACCACTGAGCTACATACCCAGCCTTTTTTTACATTTTATTTAGAAAGAGGGTCTTGCTGAGTTGCTTGGGGCTTCACTAAATTACTGAGGCTGGCTTTGAACTCAATTCTCCTGCCTCAGCTTCCCGAGCCACTGGAATTACAGGTATGCGGCCATACCCAGCTCTTTTTTAAAATTTTTAAATTTATTTTTGCTACTGGGGATGGAACTCAGAGGTACTTTACTACTAAGATACATCCTCAGCCCTTTTTTTGTTTTTTTTATTTGCAGAGGCAGGGTCTCACTAAGTTGCTTAGGGCCACACTAAGTTGCTAAATTGAACTTTTGATGCTCCTATTTCAGCCTCTTGAGCTTCTGGGATTACAGGAGTGTACCACCATCCCTAGAGGTGCCTTTATTTCTTCATTGTATCTTTCTAATAAACAACAGAGCCTGAACTTCTTACATTAAGCCTAAATGGATCAGATTTCCAGAGTGGGCATTGGATGAATCTCAATGATAAATGAATAAGTCAGAAAAGAAACAAGTCAGGACACAGTGGAAGAAAATTTAATTTATGCAAAGTTCAAAAACAGAGAAAATGAAACTATAGTGCCTAGGGATATGTGCACAAGTGGTAAAATCTTAGCAAGGAAGGCAGAAGTTAGGACTGTCTTACCCCTGGAAGGAGGGAAGGAGCTATGACTGGAAGGGCCACCCAGGGGGTCACTGCAATATCCTATCTCATTACCTGGGGCTGCAATATCCTGTCTCATTACCTGAGCACTGGTTACACAGGGATTTTGCTTTCCTATTCTTTAAACTGAACATAATGCATGCAGAATTCTACTTTTCTCTTTTTTTTTTTTTTTTTTGCATAGTGGCAAATAAAAACTTCAACCTTTTAACATACTCCACATTTTTTTTTGACCAATATGAGTATCTCATTTAGCAAAGAAAAGTTCTTTTGAACTTTGGTTAGGCCCTTTTTCTTCAGTTACACTTAAATGACATAGTTAACTATCTTTTATTTCAAAAGATAGCATCTCTAATAATATAGTCTCATTTTTATTAAAGTATGTTAATCTTTCCCTCTACATATTTTATTAAAATATCTTTCCCTCTGCACATAAGGACCGAGAGAGCTAGAAGACTCATCACTTACGTGAGTAATTACTTCTGGGTGGTGGAACTGGGGGTGATTTAACTTTCTTCTACATTTATTTTTCCACATTATTTGAGTGTTTTTTTTAATGAATATAGATCATAATTTGTATCAATGAAGTGTTTTGTTGTTGCTATTAGTTACTCTCCAGTGAACTAGGTGTGGTGGATAGTGGGGAGGGTGGACCCTGAGCTTCTATGTGGGACCATCCCCACGGTGGCATAATGAAGCCCCACTGGAGTGAAGAGGGTGTCTGCCTGGAGGATGAACAGGGGCAG